ATCACCTTACCAAAAAGATAGTAGCAGGACATTTACTATCTATTTGTATCGTCATTCTAATAAAGTTAGAATCACAAATATATGTGGATTCCATTAATACAAATAGATGGTAAGAATAACAATTTTTATATTAATAATATATAAAAGAAGATAATGCTAATCAACCTTCTCAAAGTAGTACTCTCTTGTGTACTCTCTATCATCTCACAATTTAACGTTAATTTTTGTGTCAACATTATAAAATAGATAAATATTAAGATTAATTCTTATGCCAACATTATAAAACAGATAAATGTTAAGAAGACTCTCAAAAGTAAGATTATTCATAGACTCTCTCATCTCATGTTTCTAGTATAAAAACATAATCTTGCATGTCTATACTATAAAAATATTAGGAGAACTTGCAAATTGCTTGACTAAAATACATTGACATATAATTGATATAACAAATTAAATAAACAAAAATGTGATAAAATACTATAGAAAATGAGAAATGATTTTCACACCTCTTTTTTTTTTTTGCTCTATGCACCTTTACTTTTTGCCTTCGAATTAGATAAGTCTAAATAAAATAAAGAAACATAAATTAACAGGTGTGCAAAAAAAAGTAAATAAGTGTAGAAATCATTTTTCTAGAATTTAATCAATATGGTTTGAAAAAAAAAAAGCAAATTGTAGTAATGGTCCCTCAACTTTAACTCAATTAGAGCAATGGTCCATCAACTAAAAATCCATTATCATTAATCCCTCAACTCATTACAACGTGCAACTATGGTCCCTCAATTAAAAATCTATTACAATGATCCCTCAACTTTAATCCAATTGGAGAAATGGTTCCTCAACTTTAACTCAAAACTTTAACTCAACTGTAGCAATGGTCATTCCAACACAACTCATTTTGACAAAATTTTGACGAAATTGATGAAAAAGACCATAGCTACATGTTTTGATGAGTTGAGGGACCAATGATAATGAATTTTTAGTTGAGGAACCATTGCTACAATTTACTCTTAAAAAAATTAAGAAGTTAATGAATAGCATGAAAGTTGAGGGGTGATTAGACAATAACCCTGAAATTAAAGCGTGTGAAAGGGAAGGTAAATGATTAAGACTCAGGTTAGTTGGGTAAAAGACAGACATCACTTTACCAAAAAGATTAAAGAAAACTAATGAAAATAGCTTGAAAACTTTGAGTTTTAAGGATAAGGACAAATAAAGGGTAAAGTGAATAATATCATGTTTGACTTTTTAGTGTAAAAATGTGGTTTTTCGTTAAAGTGAATAGTACCGTAAGCTTTTTGTTAAAACTCCCAAAGATTAATAAAAGGGAAAGTAGCAATATCCTTACCATCTATTTGTACCGTCATTCTAATAGAGTTAGGATTCACAAACACATGTGGATTCTATTTTTATTAGAGATGGTAGTAATGATGATACAAATAGATGGTGAGAATATTATTTTTATATTAATAATATATAAAAGAAGATAATGCTAATCAACCTTCTCAAAGTAAAACTCTCTTTTGGACCCTCTACCATCTCACAATTAACGTTAAGTTTTGTGCCACATTATAAAACAGAGAAATGTTAAGAAGATTCTCCATAGACTCTCTCTTATCTCATGTTTTTTTTTTTTTTTTTTTTGCACAATGTTTAATAATTTTGGTAGGGAAAATGACGTTAAACTGTGACGTGCCAGAGCATTCATAAAAAATTCTACTGTAAAAGAGTCTTCTTGGCATTTCTCTATAAAATAATTAAATATTAAGTCAAAAACCTAATGTGACAGAGAATTCACGAAGAGTTCTCCTTTTAGGGAATTAAAGACATTGACAAATTTGGATCCCATCCGGATCCAAATTGTGGGGATCTTAGGGATCCTTAAATCTTAGTCATTTATCGTGCATCGTGCAATAAACATAAATAATAACTGACAAAAACTGACCACACGATATACGATGAACGGTTAAAATGTGAAAATCTCTATAATCCCCACAAAGTGAATGCGGAGTGATTCCTATTTCGACATTGACATTGAAGTCATAGTTTGGAAGCTGATTTAATCACACGCCATTTCGAAGCCACTTGTCGAAAATCAAGCTATCAAACATTGAACAAAACATTTGACAGGTTACCTTAATTCCAAACATTTGTCCAAGATGATATAATTCCTAGTTATATACAAAACATTGGAATTTGACATGTTCATGGTAAAAGAAGAAAGGACATGGATCCTCTCTGGATCCAGTGGTCCTAATCCATAAGTTCAATTATCGGCCGTTGAAATTTGATCCAACGGCTACAAATAGGGGTCCAATTTAAAAGTTATAATAACTTTAGTCGTTAAATTAAATTTTAACAGCCCGGATAATTGAACTTGGTGGATTAGAATCACTGGATCCGGAGAGGATCCATGTCCAAGAAGAAAATAATATGTCACCGACATCGACTATGGAGAAATAGTTATTAATGATTTTATATCAGCCATTATCAATATTTAATTATCACTAACTCAATTTCTCTTTTGTTATTATTGCAGATTTTAGCGGGGCTAAGTCAAACAGAGTGGTGTGTTCCTCTCTTTTGTAGCAAAGTTTAAATCTTATAGAACAAACGTGCAACGATATTGTTAAACCTTGCCATAAAACACCCCAAAGGGAAGGAAATCCGGTGAAGAAACTCATTTGATGTAAGTGCACACCTCACTATCATATATGTCACTATATTGCGAACCCGATAGCTTCACTGCAACGAAAATACTCGAAATTTTTTGTATCTCTTCCACAACGATCTCATTTTTCCTGTTCTCCTTTCCTTTGACATGAAGATTGATTCTCTTGGTTCTGTAGCATCGAATCCAAGAAGAACACTTTTAAAAGTTATAGTTTAGATTAGTTTAGTATATCGTTGGAATAAAAGAAAACTTACCTTTAATATTTGTGTATATTAGATTAGTTCAATATGAGTCATTTAGTACTATTGTCTAGATATATTTCTCTCAATTTGTAAGTTGAAAGTTTTTTGTTCAATTCTCATGTATGGCAAAGTTTGAACTATATTATTACGGTTAATCCATTATGTTAACCTATCTCATATATCCACCACTATAGATTAGGTGCTTGAATTTTTCTACTTTAGCATGCAAGTAGCCAATAACAAATGACCACATTAACAATTTCACACCAATCTATCTAAAGCCAAGAGGAGAGATTTGGAGAACTTAGGAAAAGTAAGGGCATGCTTGGTATCCTACCCAAAAACTTTGGTTGTTCCTAAAAATAATTTTCAAATAACATCACTTAAAAACAGTATTCTTTTTAAGTCTCAAAATTTCAAAAATCTGTTTGGTTGAATTTTTAAAAATAATGTTTTTAGTTTGAATTCAAACTTTCTTGAACAAAAATTGGAGGAGAGAAAGAATTGGGAAAGAGAAAAGAGAGAGGAAATAGTTGGTGAGGGGAGAGAAAGACAGGGAGAGGACGAGGAAGATAGGGAAAGCAAAAAACTACGGTGAGAAGATGAGGAGTGAGAAGAAAGAGAGTGTAATGAGAGAGAGACAAGACAAAGGCTGAGAAGAGAAAAAAAACAAGGTGTGACGTGGGGAGAGAAAAAAGAGAGGGTTGAGAGAGAAAAAAGAGAGGGTTACGAATGAGCAAAAGAAGATGTTGAGAAGATGGTATAAAAACTCTAAAAACTCACTTTTAGTGTTTTTAAAAAATAGCTTATGTTTTTAAGTTAGTTTTGAATCCAATTTTTAAAAAAGTTCTACCAAACAAGAATTCAAAATCTAAAACTCAAAAAATGTTTTTGAGTTAAAAAAGTTGAACTCAAATAGAATACCAAACAAACCCTAAAACATTGCAAACTTCTGACCTAGCAAATAGTATTAGACCGACCTTTCACCATCTCCTCAATACGAAGTTTCAGTTTCATCTTTGTCCAATTGACACCTCAACCAAAACCCATGGAAATATACACAAAAGGCAACATGATTGAAAGATATAAAGTTATGACTTGTCTTTTGGCTATTGGTTATACTTGTAGAAAGAGACCTGGCTATGACTCAAATGCTTTACCACCAATCACTCTCCTACTAATCTTTAATCGTACTCATGTAGTGAAACTCGTTTTCAATCACTTCAAATCAAAATTTTCGTTCAAAAGTTGCCCATGAGATTCACGATTCACATAGACCTGTGACTAAAAAAAATTTCACCATCAATCACTCTTCTATTTTGTGCCCTCGAACAATTTTTATTCAGAGATAAAGTTTTCATGTGGCCAAGTCAACCTACACAAAAAAACTCTTCTTAGCCGACTCTCCCTCTAACCCTTCTTGCCTGAAAACCCTAGATCTGATACCTCTCAGCCACCAACCCCTTGCTTCGGCTTAGCGCCAGTGGCAACCCCTTTCCTAGTCATTCTCCATCCGGTCTCTTCCACCCCTTCCCATTCACGCACAGCGTCTTTACATCGCATGTATAGAATCTCATTCTCTGGGTAATCAGATAATCTTTTTCGAACTTATTTTCTAACATTTTGTAAGATGAAGAATGACAAAATTCATAAAATGACTATGCTCACATATAGAATCTCATTCTCTTGTTCACATGTTGACCAAAGATTTACATATAATCTCATTCTCTTAGTCACATGTTGATCAAAGATTTACGATCACTTCCATTTGGATTTGATGTCAGAAGCGGAAAAATATTTGTGATGTTTTAATCTCAACCCTCAATATTAAATTAAAATAAGTCCACGTATTAGTCACCAAATGATCGGAGAAAAATTCGTATACAATCATACTCACATTTCAATCCATGATAAGAAAAATGCTCACACACAAACAAAAGATTGAAAGTAGAGGCCTTTATTGTTATCAAAATCATATATACAAGAAAAATTTTGTGTAATCGTCTCATAATATATACAATTTGATACTCAAAAAATTAAACTCAACAAAATTACAAGCTTATACAAAATTAACACACTACAAAAAAAATGAACCTGAAAATTTTTCAAGACCCAATACTCCAATTCTTCTTCTTACAAGAAATTGGGGACACAATGTTGTGAGGATATATATCACACTGGAGAGGCAGAGGTTGTACTAAAACCAAATTTCTGAGAGCTTTGTTCTTGTAAGTGGAGAAGGAAGCTCCATCTGATGAAGGAACTGCACATCATGAACCAAAGGGTTGTGTGTTCTTCCTGGTGGAGAGCCTGAGTAGCATGCCGGTGAGCATTTCGTGCACACATACTCCCTTCCACCATATATTTCCTGCATGATTAGAATTTAAAAAACACGAGATAGTACTCATTTGGTCACGAATGAAATCATGGTGTTCAAATATCGGGCATGTATGTGATTACTTATGTAAGAAGTATTTTTGTTTATAAGCGTTGTTTAAGAAACACCTTTATTAAAAACCCGTTGAAATTTTTATTAACTTTTATTAAAAGCACGTTGAAATTTTTATTAATGTTTGAGTACTTTTAATTTTTTGGTCACGTATTGACAAAAGCACTTTTAGCATTTTTAGAAGCATTTTTAAATATACATGAAATATAAACGACAATTGTAGAAAAAGAAAAATAACAATAAAAGAGCATGAATGCTAACCTTTTCACTGATCATATTCAGAACCCCACTTCTCTCATCGGAATTTTTTTGGCTGGTCACAAAAAATAAACACAAAAGAGCTGTTACATCTTCAAATATATGATAAGTAGGCAGTGATTTCCGCACTCTCGTTTTCTCATTTTGAACTCCTTTCCTTGTTTCCGTCCTTCATTCTCTTTCGATATTTTGAATCCAAAGACTAAAACAAAGAGAGGATTCTATGGGAAGAAAGGGGAGAGCGAAAATCACTTTCCTTTGAAATCAACCCGACAAAAACAAGAAAACCCTAATGAAACCTGTGCTTGTTACATCTTATAGGGTTGAGGAACTCAGGCATAGCAAGGCCAGCTCTTCGAGGCTTAGGGCAAAGAGGCTGGGCATTGCCTGCAGAGTTTGCCACGGCAGCAGAACCAGGACCCAGAAGAAGATTGCTGCTTTTCTTCACGCCTAATTGGTGCATAATTTGTTCCACCAAAAAACACAACAAACAAGAAGAAAGAAAGAAAATCGAAGTCACAAGCAGTAGAAAAAGAAACGATTAACTTGTGACTGCAAAATTTCAACTGTTGCCCTATTTACTTACCCTCATTGAAATGGTAATTAATATATAAGAACCTGCCCCTTTTATTTAAATATTAGCCACACATTTAAGACACAGAGAGAGAGAGAGAGAGAGAGAGAGAGAGAGAGAGAGAGAGAGGTAAGTGAGAAAATAGTGAGAAGTGGAGCCACATTTTGGTTGGAGACTTGGTTCAACTGTGTAAGTATAGGAGGAGTAGAGGGTTGGCCAAGAGTGGAGTTAGGGTCTGTCTTGGCTTTTGATCTCCTCATATTCCTCTACTTCCCTTCTTTGTCTACGTATTTTTTGGTGTTCTATCTCCATAATATTGAACCATTCTTTTTCTCATCCAATTTTGATGACCATATTGCAAAATTCCTTGTTATTTGGAGGGCGTCTTATACCTACGGTCGTTTTCCCAACTTTTAGCTTCGACATGCTGGAATTAGATTGTCGTCGCGAGTTTGTTTTGTAGTTCTTATTTTCCTAGTTGAACAAAAGTTGTGGTAACCAAAATAAAAGTCACGGTGGTTACAAAAAGGCTACAATACAGGGCACTTAAAGTCATTGGATCCAATTCAAGAGTTAGATTTAAGGGCTCTAAGTGCTGGAGTATTGTAGTAGATCTAAGAGCTCTAAGTGCCAGAGTTAGATCGAAGGACTCTAGGTCACCACACTTCTCTTTATTCACTCAACAAAATTATATCTTACCAAATTTATCCTTTTCCAAAATTCACACAAAACAATGAGAAAACAAAAAAATTAATCAGGGATGTCCCAAATTAATAACGCAACTTCATGTGTTTTAACTTTCCCAAGTAACATTGCGTTATCAATTTTTGATCCGCGACAGGTGTAGGTAAGTCCTCACTGAAAAGAAGGGCAATGGCACACTCCTCATTCTGGCAATCTAAGAAAAGTATTACTGTGCAAAGTTACAAGTCAACAGATGGTGAATCATGAATAATATGTATCCCAATCAAACTTGGGCTGTGAATACACCTCATAATCTATAGGTCCATCCACAACACTGTCTACAGTCTGTACGCCTTCCAAAAGAGCTGGATGAAGACAGTCATTATGGGAAGGCAACAATTTATACATTACTAATACCCCAAGTGTGAATATAGCTTGCAGCTTCGTTGAGTCTCCGTGGACCGAAAAGAACAACAGCATTGCCAGCAGGAATAAATCGACGCAAAAACGCATGATGCACAGAACTGTATCCATCAACTTCCCATCATTCCCAGCAGGAAAGCCCCGGACCCTATAGACAAAGAGGAAGTTGTACTTGTCGACCAGGTACCTATACCCAAAATAAATAGCACCAACGGGAACCACAAGTGGGGAGAAGGAAGAATATATGAAGGTCAGGGAAAATATCGTCAGATTGAATGCATAATATTGGGCGAAATCAAATGTCTGTTTGGGGGCAGTTGATGTTCTGTTGATTGGGTAATCAGAGAGATCATTTCCCTGCAGAGTTCTGGGAGAATCATAAGTGTTGTCCACAATCAAGGGCCTCTCTAGACCATTTGTTTCCTGAGTTTCCAATGCGTATTCTTCACTTTGTTCCGGGACTAGCTGTAGCATGTCATTCTTCCGAAACTTCTGAATCTTCCTTTTTATCCAAGGGATTGGAGCCAATAGATCATAAGATATGCCCAGGAATGTACTTGTTATCAAGAATGCAAGAGAAGAAAGACACGATCTTGACAAAAACGAGGCACTCATGTACTGCTCAATTCTCTTGCAATCTTCTCCATCCATATAGCACCTTCCCATTTTTAAGATGGCACTCTCTAAAGATGATTCAACCAGTCCCTTAAGAAGTATAAGATTCACCAGGAAGAAACAAACCATCTTAAGAAGAGCAGCTCGTTGCTCCCCCGACACTGTAAGATGTCGCTCGAACTTGGAGAGATATGAAAGTGCTGATGGAATAACCATATACATGCTGACAAAAATAAACACATTGGGTAGAAACTGAAAGATAAGACTCCCGAGCCAGCTTGAGCTCTGCACCCAAGCAAACCACAACTGGGCGTTATCCATAGCTTCCGCATTTATAATCCGCCAGGCATTTTTTAGAGCACTGATAATTGCCAGAGGAGAGCTAAAGAACAGAAGAATCAACAACAAGCACGTGTTCACCAACACTCTTCGCAATTTCAGTGAGAGCTTCGACGACCCCAAATGATTCCAATAAATATCCGTGGCCAAGGGTGCCTGCTCAACTTTCCATTGGTTTCTCTGTAAACGCAATTCCACAAGAGAAAAGAATTTCCCTATCCGCCTCTTCTTCTCATGTCGAAAGTCCTGAACCGCTTTATTAGCAGTGTACACATCCTTAAACACCACAAATGCAACTCCAGCACCTAGTGCACGACCTTCTTTGTAAGCTGCCAGTTCAGTCTCCAATTCAGCTCTCCATCCCTGCAACTCTCCTAACTTCCTTTCATCGGTGTATCCCAACCTAGCCATAGTATGATACCAGAAATCCTCTACCTTTCGCCATAAATTACAAGCACATCCCCATACTCCCTCTGAAGAAGTCCTTACGTATCCATTCTCTTCACTTTCATACGGCAAGAGCCGAGAGTCAATTCGTGCAACCAACCAAGAAATTTCATGCCTAACCCTCACTAATTCCGAGGCTAATTCATCCAAAGCACACAAATCCATCGGCATTATAACCCTATAAACCTTTCCAGGATACCTATGTTGAAAATACTCATGCAGCACAGTCCCATCATTCCCTATGGTTTTCGGTATCCCCTGCACCATTATAGTAAAAATCGCCATGGAATTCACAGTCGGGTCACTCAAATTGCCATTCACATCCCTAATCCTAGTGATTCTCAATCTCCCTTCAATAGCAGAAATACCAAAATGCACAAGAACAACAACAACAACCACGAAAACGAAATGCACCCAAAGCAAAGCCGAACCTTTCTCAATGTGATTGATGGTCGTCTTCGAGAATTGATCCCCCAGCACAGCACTCCCAGCGTAGAGATTCAGCGGAAGCATTACAAGCACAGCCAAAACCGCCATGGACAATAGCAACCCGCAGCTGCCGCCCTCGATCAAGAGAAACTGGGCGGCGTCAGCGCCGCAGTGGCGCGCAATCTCACGGCACGTGGCGTGCCACACCGCAAGGAGCTTAGCGACCAGGGCAGACGGACCGGGCATGCGGCGGTGGTCGCTGCGAAGCTTGACAAATATGAAGAAGAAGACGCAGAAGAAGGAGCCGATGGCGGAGATGTTGAGGAGGTACTGGATGTTGCCGTACCAAGCCTCGCAGGTATCGGCGCCGTCGACGGGGGACGGCGGAGGAGAGAGAGTGTCGTTCATGGAGGGTATTGGGGAGAAGACTGAAGATTGATAAGGCGTGGCCATCAGAGGCATGGGAAATCTAATGATTGAGCCGGAAATTGGGGTTTTTCTGGTGGGATTTGAGGTAATTGGGATTGAATTGGATTGAAATTTGCTTCATGTGGGGCAGAAATTAGGGTTTGGATGGGGTTTTGCGGGGATTTGGGGTTATGGGCTAGAAGAGGAAGATGCAGGGATTTTTTGGGGTGGAGTGTTCGATGCTGGCAAGGAATAATCGCCCAAAAAAATAAAATAAATTATAACATAAGAATTTGAAAATTTTAACGATAAGGATAAAATAAAAGGTAAAGCGAATAATATCATGATTGACTTTTTAGTATAAAATTTTGATTTTTTTTTTGTTAAAATAAACAATATCAGGGGATTTTCATTAAAGTTCCCTAAATAGAATAGGATTATAAAAACAATTAGTTAGTTTTAATGCACAGTTATAGTCTTGTGATATTTCTCTTCACTTAGAAGTGAGAGATCTTATGTTCGAATCTCGTGAATGGCATATTCGATACCAAATTAGGCTGCTCATTGTCTTACTAAACCGAACTTCCTCACCTCTTAGTGTAAAATATCGATGTACCAAAAAAAAACACTAGGTTAAGCTTTCTTGACCAACAATAAATTAGCTTTCTTTTGTTCCTGAAGGAAACCTAGCTTAATTTGGAACACACAAATCTGATACTTGTGTTGAGGAAAAACCAAAATTGTTGGAAATAGAATGAGAACCAAAAGTGTTGTGACATGCCAAACTATTTGTTCTTCATGAGGGGTTTTAGGATGCCACTAGCTATGAACGAGAAATCTTGCGTTGGCAGTTATATGTCACTCAGTGTTAAAATTTTAAAATATGAGTAGATGAAAAAAGTTTAGCGACTGTTTGATATTCATTTTGTTTTCAATTTTTACTTTTTTGAAAACTAAAAAAAAATTTATAACTACTTTCAATTAAAAAAAAAAACTGAAAACCAAAAATTAAAAATTAAAAACTTGGGCCAAATTTTAAATTTTTTTTTTTAGTACATCGATATTTTACACTAGGGGAGGGGGAGTTCGGCTAAACCACACAATGAACAATCTAATTTGGTATCGAATTCGTCATCCATGAGATTCGAACATAAAATCTCTCACTTATAAGCGAAGAGGAATACTACCAAACCGTAGTATTTTTTTTAAAAAACTAACAAATGAAAGTAGTAGACCTAATAAGATTTTAGTTTTCAAAAAAGTAAAAACTGAAAACAGAATGGTTATCAAATGGTCATTAGTAAAGTGTAACATGTTATAATATGAATAAATTGGTAGTATCACGTGACGATATAATAGTTTGAAAAACTTCTCTTTGCGTATATTCAATTAACGATATTAATGAAGCGCATCTCTCTCGTTCAACTTATTTTCTCATGCAGTTTCTTTTATTTCTTCTCTGTGTAAGCCTAAAACAACCCAAAGAATTGTTATTGGAAATGTGTTAACACTATGTGATCATGAGAACGTCAATTTAGAATTGTTATTAGCTTTGTAAAATGTTATCGATGTAGTGTTTACGTGTGTTATTTTCTTGTGTTTGTATAAATGAGAAATGCATGACAACTTTTATGGAGCGTCAATAACAACTCTTAGTTAAGACTTAAGAGTAACAAACTTTACAATTGTAAGT